CTCAAAACTCGAATGAACCCCAAATTCTAGGGTTTTTACCATTAGTCGAGTCTAGAGATAAAGACAAGTAAGTCGGGCAAAAATATTAACGGAATAAGAGCAGAAATCATAAAGGAACACGTATTTCCCAGTAGAAGAAACTCATGAATAACATAATAAAGAACAATCATGCAAAACATACAGTAGAAGAACTCGTAAGAACAAGGTAGAAGAAACACAATAGAAGAAACACATAAGGATCATAAAAGAGACATAACAGAAGAAACATATAAGAATCACAGTAGAGCATGTAAAAGATCAAAGAAGAACCCTAAATCGGGAAGATGAAAAGGTTAAAAAAGCAGTTTTGAAAGAAACTTTTGAGAAAACGTTTGGAGACACCAAGATAAACACAGATCTAGGACAGATCTAGAGAAATCAGGAGAACCTCGAAAGGTTTTGGTTTCAGAAGAAACCTAGAAGTGAGAAAGGCCTGGAAAACTCGTGGATCTAAGCTGGAGAAGACCATGGAACCTTGAATCGAAGGAGATCTGGGTAGAGATCTTCAAGGTCAGGCCTTGAATCTTTAGAAAACCGGTGTATAAGAGCACCAGGGGTGGGCGTGAGATCCCCATGGCTTGGTGGCCATAGATTCCGGTGGATCTCTGGTCTGAGACGGCAAGAGGTGGCTAGGGTTTGAGAACCCTTGATAGAATTTGAGAGAGTGGAGGGTTTCAGAGGCGGCAGCTGAGGAGAAATGAGGTAGGGTAAGGGGTCGTTTGAATTAAAAAAGGAAAGGGATGAGGGGAGCCGTTCATCTAAAAGATCAACGATTGGGATTAAATGGGTTAAATGGGGATCGGGTTTGGGTATGATAGGAAAGGGTATGGGTCGGGTTACAATAGAATTGGGTCGATTAATTAGGGTGTGATTGGGGGTCCAATTTGGGCTAAAATTGAAATACAAAAGGGCTGTCATTTAAATAGCCAGTTTTCCCCTTTTTAATTTATAAAAATAGTAAAAAAAATGACTTGAAAATAAATTAAAGGTAATGGACCAATTAATAGCATATAAATATTAATGTAAAAATACTAAAAGTGATTTTATAATTATAGAATGCCGTTAATCGTAAAATAGGCTATAATTACAATTATATGCAATTAGCTTAAAAAATACCAAATAAATGTATAAAAATATACAAAAATAATCCCAATTATATATTAGGGTAAATATGAGAATGAAATAAATTATTCACTAAATAATACTAGTTTGGGACTAATTATTGAATTTTGTAGTATTAAAATAGACAATAAATTGGTTTTAAATTCTTAAGAAAAATAAAGGAAGAATACCAAAACTTTGTGGTATGATTATATATGCCTGTACATGCTATTTTGAAAGTATTTTGCATATATAAAAATATAGGAAAAAATTGGGTATTAACAGACGTGTCCATTCATATGCGGCTCACATACTCCTGCGTGTACTTCATTCATGATTCTTCCGACCTCTTGGGCATCCACACATCTCAAAAGGTTCAAATCTGGAGTCCGTTTGCACAAAACTTCTTCGCTCAAGAAAAAAAACTCGGCAAGCCTTCTAATGGTTCTTTTTTGATCTCCACTGGCTTGCTCGGGATATTCCCTTGTTTTCAAAAACATCTTGATATCATGGTACCATGGCTGAACAATTGGCTCCACCTCAATTGTATTGCAATAACCATGTCTTTCTTGGATTTGGATTTCCAACGGGTCAATGTGGACATTGCCTGGATACGACAACATCGAGGCCAAGGTAGCGAGTGCATCGGCTAACTCATTGTGAAACCGAGGAACGTACCTGAACTCAATAGATTTAAACCGTTTGCTAAGATCTTCCACATGTTGCTTGTATGGTATAAGCTTGACATCCCGAGTTTCCCGTTCTCCCTGAGCCTGTCGGATAATCAGATCTGAATCTCCCGTGATTACCAATTCTTCCACATTTTAGTCTATTGCCATGTTCATACCCATAATACAGGCTTCATACTCGGCAGTGTTGTTGGTGCAGAAAAACCGAAACCGGGTTGTGGCCGGATAGTGCTGACCAGTGGGTGAGATCAAAATTGCCCCAATCCCGACACCTTTTGCGTTCACCGCTCCATCTAAGAACATTGTCCAAGCATTGGCGTCTTCTGAAGTTACCTCAACTGAATTCACTTCCCCGTCCAGAAAGTAAGTACTCAAAGGCTGATACTCATCATCAACAGGGTTTTCAGCTAAGTGATCCGCTAGAGCTTGAGCTTTCATTGTCGTGCGAGTGACATAGACTATGTCGAACTTAATGAGCAGGATTTGCCATTTTGCCAACCTTCCTGTGGGCATCGGCTTCTGGAATATGTACTTTAAAGGATCCAACCTGGTGATGAGGTAGGTGGTGTAGGTCAACAAGTAATGCCTAAGCTTCTGAGCGATCCAAGTTAAGGCGCAGCAATTCCTTTCCAACAAAGTGTATTTGGCTTCGTAACTTGTGAACTTTTTGCTCAAATAGTAGATTGCCTGTTCTTTCTTCCCGGTAACATCATGTTGCCCTAGGACACAGTCGAAGGAATTCTCCAGGACTATCAGGTACAAAAACAAAGGCCTCCCAGGTTCGGGTGGGACCAAGACTGGCGGGTTCAACAGATATTCTTTGATTTTGTCAAAGGCTTCTTGACACTCAACTGTCCATTTAACAGCGACATCTTTCTTCAACAGCTTGAATATGGGTTCACAGGTGGAAGTCAACTGAGCAATGAACCAGCTGAGGTAATTCAACCTTCCCAACAAACTCATAACCTCTTTCTTGGTTCTCGGAGGAGATAAATCCCGAATAGACTTTATTTTCGTTGGATCTAGCTCAATGCCCCTCCGACTAACTATAAATCCCAGAAGTTTCCCAGACGGAACTCCAAATGCACATTTTGCCGGGTTCAGCTTCAAATCATACTTGCGCAGACGCTCAAAGAACTTTCTCAGGTCCCGAACATGGTCATCTTGTATTTTGGACTTAATGATCACATCGTCCACATACACCTCGATTTCTTGGTGCATCATGTCATGAAAGATAGTAGTCATAGCTCTCATGAATGTTGCCCCGGCGTTCTTCAGACAAAAAGGCATGACCCTGTAATAATAGGTGCCCCAGGGTGTGGTGAAGTCTATCTTTTCCGCATCTTCTTCATCCATCAAGACCTAATGATATCCAGCATAACAATCCATGAAAGACTGTATCTCATGTTTGGCACAATTGTCAACGAGGATGTGGATGTTTCGCAGAGGAAAGTTGTCCTTGGGACTTGCTTTGTTCAGATCCCGATAGTCAACACACACTCGGGTTTTCCCATTTTTCTTCGACACTGGGACTACATTAGCCAACCATGTGGTGTATCGGACCACTCTGATCACACCCGCTTTCAACTGCTTGGTGACCTCTTCTTTGATCTTGTCACTAATGTAAGTTTTGAACTTTCTTTGTTTTTGCTGGACAGGGAGACAGTCGGGGTAAGTTGGCAATTTGTGCACCACCAGATCAACACTTAGTCTTAGCATATCATCGTAGGACCAAGAAAACACATCTTTGAATTCAAACAAGAGTCGGATAAGTGCATCTCTAGTTCTTTCATCTGTGTGAATGCTTATCATGGTTTCTTGGACCTCATCTGAACTACCAAAATTTACTAGCTCGGTTTCATTTAAATTTGGCTTAGGCTTATTCTCAAATTGTTCCAATTCTCGATTTATTTCCCTAAAAGCCTCTTCTTCATCGTATTCCAGTTCTTGATTCATTGTTTCACAATTAGACAGCGTGTTTGGATCTGGGCATGAAGTCCGCAAGCATGTCGTGTTATTTAAAGCCACATTATTAGAACTGAAAGAAGAAATAAGAAAAAGTAACAAAAATCAGAAAGAATAAAGAGAGAGATTCATGAACGATGAAATATTGATTTCATTTCATTGAATTTTGAAGATAACAGGGCTTACATTGGAATTTAAAGGCAGTAAACTAAAAGAGACACCCGAGTTACACCCTGGGATAGCTCGTGATGTAGAAAAGGTGGCAAGACTGGACTACCGAGATTCCCGCCTGACTGGGAACGGAGTAGCCTTCCAGTTTTGCAACTTGGCATTGGGCCCCATATATAGCACCTCAGTGGTGTTCGAGCCTTCTCCCGGCTGGACCATGTGGGTTTCATACAGCATCTGCCTCATAGCTCCACATATTTCTTCTATCTCTTCAGTTGTAAAGGCCTCATCTTCCTCTTATGTGTACTTGGGCTTGACGAATGTTTCGAACAGATGCGGGATTGGCTGAGGCAAGACCCAACCATTGTTCTTCCGCTCATTTGCCCACGTTTCATCAGTTGGCGTGGCCTGAAAACCCATACCAAAGAACTTCTCGCTAGCAGCCAGAGTGATAGGTTCTGTGATACCTTGCAATGATGTCCCGAGCCCCTTCCTGGGCTTATAACCATGCCTGATCATTTCCTTGGCAACCATAATTGACGCATTTGAGAGAAAGGGTTGAGGACACGGGCTTCCTTCTTCATATTGGTCTGCGACCACAACCTCTAAGGCTTGATAGACTATATGTTTGCTACCTTCCCTTGCTTCAAGACATGGGACTGACGGGTCCCTATAAATTGATTGCTCGTCCTCTCCGTGGACCACGATCTCCTGATCTGCATATTCAAATTTCACCATCTGGTGGAGAGTGGAAGGTACGGCTCCCGCCGCGTGAATCCAATGCCTTCCCAAGAGGAAATTATAAGAAGTATCCATGTCTAGGACCTGAAATGTCACCTCGTAATCCACAGAACCAATAGTCAAGATCAAATCGATCTCGTTTATGGTGTCTCTCTTGATGCCATCAAAGGCACGCACACAGACATTGTTAGGCCTGATTCTCTCGGTCCCAATCTCCATTCTTTGCAAAGTCGAGAGACTGCAGATATCAACTCCGGATTCGCCATCCAGCATGACTCTTTTCACAAAGTACCCCTCTCATTTAACTGTCAGATGAAGGGCTTTATTGTGGGAAGCCCCTTCCGGGGGCAAATCATTCTTGCTAAATGAGATCTGGTTGATTGCGAAGAATCTTTCTGCCATCCTTTCCAATTGCTCAACAGTGGTTTCAATCGGAACATAAGCTTCATTGAGGGTTTTTATCAACACTTTCTGATGCTCGGTTGAGCTCAGCAGCAGAGACAGGAGTGAGACCTGTGAAGGAGACTTTCGGAGTTGGTCTATTACCTCATAGTCAACAGTTTTCATTTTGCGAAAGAATTCTTCGGCCTCCTCAGCACTAACGAGCTTCTTGAGTGGGAAACGCTTCTTTTTGGCTTTGTTCAAATCCTCCAAGTTAAGGTATTTCTCAGCTGGGTTAGTTTCATTTGTTTCCTCCAGGACCTCTTTTCCCTTGTATGTCACTACCGCTCTATTGTAATTCCATGGGACGGCAGTGGGGTCTGTCATGGGCTTCTGCGGGTGCGCGGCCAATAACCACGGGCTCATTTAGCCTTGGTGAAATTACTGGCCCCCGTACCACATATGTCCCTTTAGGCACGTACATCTTAGGTCCCTTGTTCAGCTCGAACCTTTTTGGAGGGCTCAATGTCATTCGTTCTTTCCTGTGACCCCGAGGAACATAAAGAATGGCATCTTTTGGGGGTACTGCCTCGATTTTGGTTTTCACTTTCTTTTCTGCACTTTTGGGGGTGGGTTCATTCTTCTTCTCCCCCTTGTCTTGCTTTGCAGTAGCCTTTGGTTTCTTTTCGACACCAGCGATGGCAATGATGGCTTTCAAGGCGGGATCAAACTCCTTATCTTCGTAAATCATCCCAATAAGAGGTCCGTTGTTGTGGGCCGGTAATGGGTTGTTGGTCACATTAGGAATTTCTTCATCCTTCAGCACTATCCGTTTTTGCTCTATGAGATTCTCAACCGCCCTTTTTAGGGTCCAACAGTCTTCAGTGTCATGCCCTTTCGCTCCCGAATGATAGGCACATCGAGCACCGTGTCGGTAAGAGGGCGACTCTGGGTTTTGCCTGGTTTGGGGTACGGGTTGCAACAAACCCATTTGGACAAGTTTAGGGAAAAGGCTAGAGTATGATTCACCAATAGGCGTGAAATTTGTTCTTCTGGGTGGTTCCCGAGCACGGGCATTGTATGGAAAATTATTTTGAGGGGGTCGGGGATTATATGGAGCTTGGTGAGGAGGGTTGTTTCTAGGGAATGGAGCTCGGTTTTGGTTAAACTGTTGTTGTGGCCGGGCATATGGCTGGGCGTTCATCACTGTGTAAGGCTGGAGGGCTAAAGCATAAGCCACATCCTGGTGGGGATAATAATGCTGTGGAGTGCTTGGTGAGAAATAACTTCTGGGCGGACGAGGGTTTCTCGGACCTGAAGCCGCCATTGCCACTTCTTCCTTTTTCTTTCTATTCGCTACACCTCCGAACCCGCTTTGAATTGCTTGGGACATAGCTCTTATGGCAGATTGGCTCAATGTGCGCCTTGTCTTCAGACCGTTCTCGACCATCTCACCAATCTTGATGTCCTCAGCAAACGTTTTCCCCATTGCAGACATCATATTCTGAAAGTAGTCAGCCTCTTGGGCTTGTAGAAAAACACTCACCATTTCTGTTTCATCCATCTGGGGCTTGACCCTGGCCGCCTGTTCGTGCCATTTAACAGCATATTCTCGAAAACTTTCCGATAACTTCTTCTTGAGATTCGACAGAGTATTCCTGTCGGTAGCTATGTCTATGTTATACTGAAACTGCCTAATAAAATCTCGAGCTAGATCATCCCAAATGTGCCGACGGGATATATCCTGATCCATGTACCACTCGGATGCAATGCACACTAGACTCTCTCCAAAATAAGCCATGAGAAGCTCCTCTTTTCCACCTGCTCCTCTCAGTTGATTGCAGTACCTCTTGAGGTGGGCGATAGGATCCCCATGCCCGTAGTACTTTTCGAACTTGGGAGTTTTAAAACCCAGGGGTAGGTGGACATGTGGAAACATACACAAGTCAGCGTAGGATACTCTCTTTTGACCACTTAAACCTTGTATATTCTAAAGGCTCTATTCCATGCTCCTCATCTTCCGAGTAATTTCTTCATGCTCGGGGTTTTTGTAGTTTCTTCCTGTCCCGCGGTAAACTCATATCGGGGCTGTTGAGGGTAGGACTCGTTTATGGTGGAAAGGATGGTACTTGAAAAGTAAAAGGTGATGAATCAAAGTTTGGCCTTGGCAAAGTGGGTTGTGCCGTGACCGAGGAAGGTGGCACAGTGAATATGTTGGTCACACCCGAAAATAACACCCGGGGGCAAACCTCAGAAGGTGTTCCGGCAAAGTGGGCTGAGATGGTAGGATATCCAAGCGGAGTGTTTGTGTAATTTATTGGGACGTTGGAAGTTCCACTTGCCTCGGGAAGTAGCTCAGGGAAACCAAGTATCGTACTCGGTGGCTCTCTACCATTGGACCAGGCGTCCTACGTTTCCAACATGCAGAGACGCAGAACCCTGTTTTCCTTAGCAGCGGCTGACTCTGAAGTTGGGATGGCCGAGATCGGGCTATCCTCAGGGATAGGAACTGTTGGCAGATGACTCTCTAACGACATTTCAACGCTTCCTATTGATCTTGTGAAGTAGGGATGTGAAGCCAAATTACCACAAAACCAACCACCTTAATATAGAACCTACTTGTAGCAAACACAACAAACTGGTTAGTGCGAGACAATTAACACATAGGGAATCGCACATTGGGGTGTGATGCACCTATACAGTTAAATGTGTTTCTATATGCTTTGCAACGGTTGCATGTTTCATCCCGGCTTTCGTTTATCTCCCCAACTTTTCCTTTCCTTTGGGCGCTTTTCATCTTTTGTTCTTTTTGCACTTTGTCATCATTTTTTCCCCTTGTTTTCTCTCTTTTTTTTCTCTCTCTTTTCCTTTTATTCAAATTATTTAAAAATCATGACCGGATCCTGCCTACGTATCACGACGCCGCATGAATCAGATCATCAAGTAGTTCAAGGAATGAATGCAAAAAATAAAGAAACAATTTTCGGGGTTTTCCAAATTTTCATTAATAAAACTTCTACTTTTCTGAGTTACAAAAGACTCCATCATACTTTTTCTAGGAATTTAAAACTACAAACAGACTCGAAACATACTTTAAAAATAAAAATACAGACTCGAAAAAGAGAAAACAATCAAGAGTACATCAGTGCCTCCAGATCTGCCCTAGGAACACCAACTGGTCTTGTTGCGGGCCTATGTGCCATGTCGTCCTGGAGGCGATAGAGATCATCCATTATTTGGCAAACAAAGATCATTATTGTGGCGAAGAACATGGAGCTGGTCATGTCCTCGCACTCGTTACATTTCATCACAATATAGTCGACGATTCTTCTAACCCTTTCCCTGATGATGCCCTTTTCTTGCAACAACCGCCCAATCTGCTCAGATCTAGCCTCCAAGACCCGGGTGGCTGCATGATTCTGTTCTTGCAAATGCAGTAGGTCTCCCTCTAGCTGTGCCATCAGAGCGTAGCAATGTTCTCTCTCGGCTTTGAAGCTCTTGGCTTGTTTAGCCATTTCACCTTCGAGGCTGTTAAGCTCCTTTTTCCAACCCGTGACCCCTCTTTCGTATCTTTCTTTCAACTGTCGAAAGAAAGTTGCTCGTTCTTCTGCATTTTTGGCCAACTTTGTTCGTACTTTTGCTAGTTCAGACTCAGTCTTTGGCAAATCATCTTCACAGTCACGTACTTTTTGTGTAAGGTTGTAGATGAGCCTTTTATCTTTTCTGCTTCTGCCCGGGTTCTCGGCTGCTATTCTTAGTTGTCGAACGTGGGCTCTGAGGGCTTCATTTTCTTGGGCCAGCATTTTTCTTTCACCCTCGACCTCTCGTTCCTGCAGATCATTATTGAAGGTGACATTTCTCAACTCTTCTTGCAAAGCGTGAATGGTGGCTTGATATTTTTTTTCCTTCTCTCCCCAGGCCAACCTCTCCCGAATTTTGTCATCAAAAGCTTGAACATGGGGTCTTTTGGCGGGCCTCTCAAGCTCAAGCTCGGGCTCTGGCTCATTGTTCACATAAAACCTTCTTTCAAACCACGCAGCATAATTGGGATCAACTTCTCCCCTGGCCGGGTCTAGTACCTGGGTGTCACTTTTTAGATACCGACAACCATTCTAATCATGTTGAACTAAAGCCTCAGGTAGTGTTGCTTCTGGGTGTAGCTCAATGACTTGGGTACTTAGATCTGCATCTTCGGGTATCACCTCATATCTTCCCAGTTGTCTCAGAACTCTTTGTGGTGCATATGGTTGGATACTCCTCAATCCCATCATCATCAAGTAGCCTTTTAAAGCTGTCACGTATATGACTTTTGTTACCGGAAGCCATCTTATAGTCCATTCAATTTGACTTGCTCTCAGAATTCTTAAATGGGAGACCCAAGCTTCAAATCCTTCTGGCGGTTTGTAGTCTTCCGCCCTTTCCTCATAATTCTTGATGAAATTGTTCCCGTCCGAAGCATATCTCATGAACATAGGATGATGGCGAAGGTGTTCGGTCATCCACATTTGAAGAAGAATATTGCAACCCTCGAAGAATTGAGCCCCAGATTTGCACAAGGTTAATGCCCGGTAAATGTCTGCCAGCACTAACGGGACAAGTGTGTGATCTTTTTTGGTAATGAGGATCTGTGCAATTCTGGCCATACGAGTGTCTATTGTCCCCTCCGCATTTGGAAAGACCATGATTCCTAAAAATGCCACGATGAAGGCAAACCGACGATGAATTTTCCATATGCTCTTGTCTTGTTTGTTATTCAACTCCTTTTCATGTGTTTCAAACCCACCTGAGTGCCCGAACCTGAAGTACAAGAAGTAGAAAGAACAACATCCTTTGCTCACGTGGGCCTTCTTCATTTGTTTACTAATATTCAGAAGATCGAAGAACTTGTGCACAGAGGGAGCCCTTGGGAATATGAGTTGCTGCTTTCTTAACTCTTGGCCAAAATCAATATACCCGACCATTTCTTCCAGAGTGGGGGTGAGCTCAAAATCCGAGAAACGGAACACATTATGGACGGGGTCCATAAATGTTAGCAAGGCTTTGATCAAATCTTCTTGGGGTTCAACGTTCATGATGTCTATAACGGAACCTATTACCCAATCCTTGCCGTCTTCATCCAAATCATTCCACCACATGCGCAGTTGCAGCTGAGCCTGCTCAATGACCAACTGTGACGGGTTCTAGACAACATTCATCTGTGACGGGTCCGGGATAGTATTCATTTGTACCTGTGGAGGGTCCGGGGTTAGGTTTGAACCTGGTGGACTCTTTTTGCGAAACAAGTTTTTTTAATCAATGGACAAAAAATCCTTTTATGCTACTTAATCAAAAATGGTCATTTTGTAAATGTGGCCCCTTCACAATTCCGAACAAATTTTGGGGCTGGGGGGAAAAGTATTTTTTGAAAGACACCTTGCAAACAGACTTGCCCGTTCCTCCCGAAAATAGCTTTCGACAATTAAAGCAATATCTAAGGCTATTCCGGTAAGAATGACTTAAAAATACAACTGAAGCTGGGTTGGCTTATTTTTTACCAAAGCCCTAAACTACATTTTACTTGATTATCGATTTTGTTTTTAAAAAAAGTGAGGCCGAACCTTATGTGGGTTGCCTACGTATCCCACATCCGGTGAGAATCAGACCTGCGTAGTTCGGGAAGTTTTGACACAATTTAAAAAATGATGTTTGACTCACTCTTTTTGAAATTCATTTTTTTTAAAAAAAATTTTGGCAGAGTTTCGAGATATTTTTTAAATACCGGGATTTTTGGAATCAGGTAAATTTTCTATCCTACCTTACTCTTGATTTTTCTTTTCATTTTCTTTTCCTAGCCGGTCAACATGCAAGCTGAAACAGATAAATATTCACATAGCACGTAGGATGCATCAGGATGGTCTTTTATTTCGGGTACACCTGTCCTAGACGGACCCAACCCCTATGTTGAGTCCCCAAGGTCAAATGCACCTGATGCGAATAATAGTTCCTACTAGGGATCCAGCATGAGCTTGTGTTATTCTAGGTTTAAAACCTGGGGTTTGTGTTCTAGACCTGGCTTACCCGAGCGGACAAACTCGAGTCGAGGAGGGGGCAACGTACCGGGAGCACGAAAGTCTGGCCGACCTTGTTGCTTGCCCAGCCCCGTCTTATTTGGGTATAACTCTAACAGAAAAGTGGGCCACGCGAACGTGAGCATCGTTTTTTAGAAGACTCAGAAGGAGGGCGTAAGAAGGCATTTAAATACAGTTCAAGTAATATCAAAGCGGTAAATAAATGGCAGTTAGCACATTGGGTCCATAAAATACAGTAATATCAACAATAAAATAAAGCCAAATAAAATCACATTAACAAGCTCGAATTCTTGAACCCTGAACCGGAAGTTCTGGGTTCTTGTCTCCAGCAGAGTCGTCAGAGCTGTCACACCTCCTTTTTACCACCCGAGGGGGGATATAAGGGAGTTTTTCCAATTAAAATGACATTATTCGAAATAGGATTATTTTATTTATCAGAGTCGCCACTTGGAATATTTATTTTGGTGTCCCAAGTCACCGATTTATTTTAAATCCCAAATCGAGGAAGTTTCATTTTTAAAGAGTCTGCGAACCAAAAATTCTAGATAAGGAATTCTGTTAACCCGGGAGAAGGTGTTAGGCATTCCCGGGTTCCGTGGTTCTAGCACGGTCGCTTAGTGATTATCACTTGGCTTAAGTAGTCTAATTACTTATTTTAGGACCTATGTGCATTTATCTTTTACCGCTTTTAATTGCTTGAATTATTCGTAATTAAAGAATTGAGTTACCCGTACATATACTCATTTCTTTTGGCGCGTCAAAATCATGTCACGCAAACGTGTCCACAATTAATAACACTTTGTTTATTTATTAAGAAAGTTTGGCCGAAGTTGCACGAACGCATACCTCAATTTACTTTTAGAATTAAATTCAGAATTATGTTACGTGAATGTATACATAATCACAATACTAATCTAAATCGGGCCTAAAGCAAACTGCGATTATTAGGGATAATTTATAACTAGGTTAATATTTATATGAGGGCCATAGGTTATTTAATGGAAAATAGCACACCTCAAACTACTTTAACTAAACGTGGTTTGCATGTTTTAATTAAGATTAAAGATACTACTTTTGAAGTTCAAACTAAGAAATCTTTTAACTAGAATGAGATGGCTGGGCTTAGAATTACTATTGAACAATTGTTTTGGGGCCAGGTCGTTCATCATTGGGTTAAATCCCTAAATACTCAGCTTTGAAAAGCTGGATTTGGGCTCCGACTTTGGGCCCAGCAAGACGGGTATTCCAGAATTGAATTTAAATAGTGCTTGCCACATTGGGCTTCAGGCGGGCCCAGTTGTGAATTTACACCGGTTGGGCCTATCCATCCTTTTGCATTCTTAGCCATAGTATACACATAAATCGCGAGCTACAAATGAACTTGCTTCTAAATAGAGGAAATCAGAATCAAAACATAGCTCAAATTGAATATTGATTATACTACGCATGATTTGCAAATATTAATTACC